GTTTTAACTTACGTAATTGAATGTTATAAGTTCTTTAAAGATATTTTTTTAATTTTTATTTAATTTGACTTCATTCAATTTATATTCGTCATCCCCCAATATAATATTACAACGTAAACGAGTATAACTTTGCATTCATTCCTTAATTCCTTGACACCTTCTGCAACTACTACCCTGACATATCCTTTTTCTGCCAGCCGTTTGGCTTCTTACACATTACTTTCCTAGTATTCAACTCATTACATATGAATAAATTTACTTTCTTACCTTTTGTAACTCGCCGTGTAGCTAGTTGCTTTGCACTTTTTTTTAATCTACCCGCGCAACTTCTGACACCTTTTTACTTCTTTGTCGCTTATGTTTGCACATCCGCGCCTTTATTTGCCTTCACTTTTGCTTCAAAAAGTTCCCTTTGCTTCTTTTTGCCATCTCGCCAGTATTTGCTAACCTCTTCCTTTTCTTTTTTTTGTAACACTCTTTTTGACTCTTTTGCATTTGCGTATTTGTCATCTTCTTCAGCATCGTTGCGCCAATGTTTGCTTTAACTTTGTGTTTATCTTTGATTTTCTTTCTGAGCTTTGCTTGAACTGAATATTACTTTGCTTTGCTGGTGCTTTTGAAAGGATTTTTTATATCCTTGTTTTCATTTCAGAAATCAAAAGTTCATTTTGCGCAAAGCGAAGGTATTTGCTTTTCTTTATGCAAATTCTTGCCAGAGAATTACCCGAAGACCGCAATAGTCGAAAAAAAAAAATGAAATTGGTCAAACATAACTCAAAGAGTCCTAGCTAGATATATTATGCTAACCCTTAAGACGCTTAGGTTATGTATAAATTTTAACATTTTGGCGGGTGTCATATTCCAGATTCTGGATGGGGACAGTAAATTGGTAGTAACAATTCAAAAACTTTCACACCATTTAGTGTGCGATATGTACGCTGTGGGTCTCCTCCACCAGCCCACAAAACCTGCAGTTCACTCCTTACCAAAGTACTCCTAAGTGCATACATAGGTACCTTATCTTGCAGTGTCCTGTCAGGCGGTGATAATACTTAGACTCCCCCGGCTAAGATTAAACAGTCGTTCAGAGACTCTAAGAGAGGGAGTTCGAAATCCCTGAATATGCGTTTATCATTAAATATACGGCCGTATGCTCCACCCTTTTTGAATGTTATACCGTGTATCCATTGCATGGACCACAGAATTTCACAACGATACCAACCACATCCTTGCCATCAATACCTTCATCATCTGAGAACCAGATAAGCTTGCTAGGGTTCCTAGGTTGTCTTGTATACTTTTTTAGGGACCTTTTTGAAAAAATCTACAAGACAGCCAAGGAAGTACTCGTAATAACTAAAACATGATTTTTTTAAACTAAATTTTTTGATTTCAGAAAGGAAAATGAGTACATATTCGTACGATATATTTAACATTGATAAAAAAACATTATTCCTGAGTTTTCGTATATTCCCTTGGATTTTCTTAGAAACATCTGCGACTTTGTGAGAATTTTCGACAGTAACCGGAGTTTTTAGAGACTTTCTCGATTTTACATAATTTTTCGGAAACTTTCGGGGCTTTTGGACTTTTCGGTATGCTTCGAAACTTTTTGAGGTTTTGTGATCTTTCAATATTTTTTCGCCCCTCTTGATTCTCTTTTCGAAATCTTTCGGGGTTTTTCGAGACCATTTACGATACTTAATTGGTGTACTTTTCTTTATTTCTTGATAGAAGCCATCATGTGTATTTCAACGTTACTTTTCTGCTTTTTTCAAAGGCATTTTTTAACTAACTACATTTTACAGGAGAACACACCTGTGATCTTTTTATATAAATATTTTTTTTTAATACAAAAGTAATACATAAGCATTAGTGCAATTTTTTCGCATTCATAAAATTTTAATATTTGCTACTTTTTTGCATTTGTGGTGATCTGTTCCTGTGTTTTTGCGGCTTAGAGATTTTCCGAAAATTTTCAGCAATTTTTTAGGAGTATGTTGGGATTTATTTGGAGTTTGTTTGAATTTTTTTTTTAATTTTCGGAGTTATAAGAACTTTTTATGATTGTTCCTGCTCTTTTCTGGACAATTTTTCTGGACCTTTCGTTATTTTTTCGGGAATCTTCGGAATTTTTTAAAACTTTTCAAAATTATAAAG